TTGCTGTAGTGTCGCCCTTGATTCTTTCAAATGTCATCAAAGAAATAACACCTGGAACTCTGTCTGAGCCAGTGTATCCTGTTATCAAAGAAGGCAGCATTTGTAGCTTACAGAATCAGCCAGCAGCAGAAAATGCAGTGATAACTGCTGTTTTGAAGGTTGATGTTACCAAGCCAGTAGTGAGTCCAACGTCAACCAAGGTTAGAAGGAAAAGTAGAATGAGCCAAGTAATGGCAATTTACAAGATGTGCCCAGTGCTCATGCGGAACAGGGCTGTGGTCTAAATGGTTTGCAAACCTTGCCTAAACCAAAGGACAGAGCTCTTGTGAGTGATGATTTATTACAGATTGAAAATATTTGCTCTCTTGTTGAAGGGGATGTATCATATAATTCCAAGATTGCAAAGATGTTCAGCTCTTCCCCTTTGGAAAAGGTTGAGCCATCAAAAGTTTCTCCGCCCAGTCAAAAGTAATTAGTACTACATACCAAAAAGAACCAGTAGAACCAGCCACTGAGAGTAAAGACAGTAAATATATACCATACACAGACTTTCCATATGCCATTGCCGTGGTAAGGAGGGAAGAAAAACAGGAACCTGTAGGTTCCTCGTTTGTGGAGCCAGGGGTTCTAGAGAAAAACAACTCAGACAGGACCCCTGAGGATTTGGACACCCCTAGGGATGCACGCTATTCTCCAGCTGCTGCTGCTAAGCAGGACATTTCCTCTGAGGACTTCAACAATTCCAGTGGTGGCCCTGCCCAGCACCCTGCAGTGGGTGACAGTCAGGACCACCCCACCTGCCTCAATGACCAGCTGTCGGAACTTTTAAAGGAGTTCCCTTATGGCATCGAAGGCCTGAACCCATTTGGGAGTTCTGTGAGCCAAAAGAAGGCAGAACAGGTCTCAGAAGATCAGACTGGTGGTAAAGTCAGTTTTCATACTAAGGAACCCACAGACCAACTAAAAATTATAGTCCTAAGCTCAGAACAAATGAAAGAATTATTTCCCGAACAGCAAGAACCCCGTGATACAGACACACTCCAATGCCATGAGGTAGACAGATCAGCAGAACCTCCCAAAAAAAAGTGTGTCACAGAAGTTGAGAGCCAGTGTGGCCCCTTGATTCCCCCCAGAGGAGAAAATCCAGATTTTCCAGAGGATATGGACAAAATCTATTGCTGTGCACTGGGCTGGCTTGCAATGATTTATGAAGGGGTCCCCAAGTGTCGCTGTAACATTGTGGAGGTGAATAAGGGGGAGGTGCAGCAGGCTCCGTGGAAAACCAGCAATTGTGAACAAGGACAGCAGACCATTACTGCGGGCGTCACTGCTGCTCAGTGTGATGATGTCTTGCCTTATCCAAAAACACCTCCTGCTGCTGTACCTGAGAAGTCACACTTGACTAAAAAAATGACAACAATATAAAAAATGCATCTAAACCCAGGCAGGACAGCACACCAAGCAAGACACAGGAGCTACCTGATCAGGTTCCCCCTAAATGTAAAATCAGTGATAAAGATGCATGCGGAAAAAAATGTGGGGCCTTGGCAAATGAGGGGCAAGAATTAAATGGCCAGTTGTCATCTAAAGACAGTAAACTAGGTTCCTCACAGAGGAATAAAGGAGTAAAACTCAAATTTCATGAGGTCAAATTCCAATCCAGCAGTCCTGACCAAGCTTTGAAGGAGGAGGGTCCCCTGAAGAAACACACACTGCAGAACTCAGATCCACTGGACCCCAAAATGAGTCTTTTCCCAAGTAAAGACCCATGTAGGAATAATGGCTCTTATGTACAGTCCTCTTCAGAAAAAAAATTAAAATCCAAAGAAAGCTGTCCCCAAGAAGCACATTTGGAAAAAAGGAAGTTAGAACAAGAGGAAGTAACAGGTTTGGAGATGAAAAAGAGGAGATCCAATAAAGAAGAACAGAATAAAAATGCAGGAGTGACATACAAGTCATGAAATAGTGTGCCAAACCCGAATGAGCAAGCCATTGTCAGAGAAAGTACATTAAAGTCCTCAGACTTCAGGAACACAGGTGAGAGACCCACAAATAGGGACAAGACAGCATCACAGTCACAGTTGTCAAATGTTAAGGACACTAGGGAAAGAGTCAGCATTAGACAGCAGACAGTGTCTAAGATGCAGGCCTCGAATGCCAAGGACACAAGGGAGAGAGCCGTAGTTAGAGACAAGGCCGTATCACAGACCCAGGCCTCACATGCCAAGGACACTAGGGAAAAAATCACTGCTGAAGAACAGGCAGCACAGATGCAGGTCTCAGACACCAAGGACACAACGGGGAGAGCCACAATTAGAGATAAGATAGCATCACAGGCACAGGCCTCATGTGCCAAGGACACTAGAGAAAGAAACAGTGTTAAAGAGCAGACAGCACAGACACGGGCCTCAGATGTCAAGGACACAGAGGGAAGAACCACTGTTCAAGAGCAGAGTGCACCACAGACACAGGCCTCAGATGCCAAGGATGGTTCTTGCAGGCTTAAGAAAGTAATAACACTGCAGGAATACTTCCAGAGGAAGAGGCAAAACGGGCCGATGGCTGAAACTGCCAAGAAAATCTGTTTGGAAAATGTTTCAGGCAATTTCACATCCACAAGCCCCACTACAGATTGTGCACAAGTAGAAAGTTGTGGAAGATTGAATGGTAAAGGTGGCAGCAGTTTAGAGACCTTGAAAAAGTCCTCAAATGTTTGTGCTAATTGTGGTAAAGACCTTAAAGCCCACCTTGCTGAGGAGTCTAAAACGTGTGCCCTTTGGAACCATGTGAAAGGGAGAGCAGATGGTAAACAGCCAACCAAAACCAAAGTAGACAAAACCTTGTACAACATTAGCAATGAGATGTCTCCCCAGTCAAAACAACAGAGAAAGTCATACTTGAACCGAGTGAACTTCAGGTGCACAGAGTGTGAACGCATCTGTATTAGCACATTCACCGGTTCCTCCTGGAAGCTTGGGAAACGTGAAAACCAGGAACACAAGCCTATGGCTTCTTTCCCAGGGAAGGACTCTGCTTCAAAGCCAGGCCTGCTGGAGTTCAAGTTATGCCTGGATGTACCGTTAAAGAATACAAACTCTACTGAGGACAAGTCGACTCTCAATGCTTACCCTGAGGAGCAGGTCACCGCGCAAGTTTCAGGAATAAAAAGTTCAAGAAAAGACTGGATAAAACGTGTAACTGAGAAGACGATGCAGAAAGCCATCCAAGAAAATGGTGTCCATTCAACACTTCTTCAGCGAAGTACCAGTGCGGATGGACGAAAAGCACAGCAGAACCTGACGAAGGAGTCCCGGACCATGTTCCAGACCTACAAGCAGCTGTACCTGCAGAAGTGGGGTGGGGACCTGGGCAGCAGCCCCAGCAGGTGACCACACAAACTGCCTCATGGCCCTGTGGCTTCCTGTCATTTCCTCCCTAGTCTCTTCAGGCGTTGCTTGGGATGGCTGCAGTGGTGAGCGCCCAGGACATTGGTTACCATGAAGTGTTAGTATTTGTGCTTTGTATCAATCACTTGACAGCCCTGTGGGTTGGCACCTGTGAGATATGGTGGTGTGTGTCAGGGAAGTTTGATCTCCTGTATTGTGAAGCACATTTACTGTTATTTTCTGGAGGCTTTTGCACATCACATTTGAAAATGCCAGCTGCCCATCGGAAGTTTCCGGAGTCCTGTGCCACATTGGATCACTTGTTTATTTAACTGAGTTTGTACATACACTTTTCTTTCTGAGCAATGTTGGTAAAACTTATTTTTTCAGATGTACCCACTGTGAAGATCAAAATACATTCTTAAGTATTTTGTACCTAATTGTAAGCTTTTTTCCAGGGGTCTTGTTTAACTGTTAAACTGAACACAATTGTTAAACTGAACACTTGTTAAACTGAACACAATTTTTTTGATAATTAGCATTACTTTTCATACTTAGAATAAACATTTATTTTAAAAAAAAGAAAGTAGTGAGATGTATTTTTTGCAAATGGGATGGAAACCAAATGAAGAAGAGAGAAGGGAAAGAGAGAAGGAGGCAGAAAAAGGGATGAAAAATGTACTGGAATTTTTATCTATGTGCACCAGTCACTCATAAGGAATATGATTGTTGTGTACTGCCAAGATGTACTAATAGAATTAAATATTGAATAAAAAATAAATAAAATGAATATCACCCAACTAGGTTATATTTCTATTACAGTGGAGCTATAAAATCTAACTTTATATTCGTATAGTTGGTAGAAAGCTCCCTAAGGGGCGATGGACTCAGGGACCACAAATTCATCACGCGTCCTCTGTAGGATCAGTTTTAATTCAGCATGGCATGGAAGGATTTCAAATGTAATTTGTAGAGTGAAAGAAGCCATCTAAAAAGATATATATATATATATATCACAATTCTCTTTATAAATCTTATGAAATGGAAACACTTTAACATTCAAACAGAAAGAATTAGTTGATTCCTGGGATATTACGATGACTGGAGATGGAGGATTCCCAGGGACACAAGGAATATGGTGTGGGGCTTGTTGGATTCACTGATCTGATAGCATGAGTTTCTCAAAGGAACAAAAGTATCTCAAAATTTATTAAAGTTTTCACTGTAATTATGGCTAGTTTGTTATCTATTCAGTATTCAAAATAAGAAAAGATATGTAAAATTAGTCTGCCAAAAGAAGCACTGGTGTGTGGTCCAAGGAGAAGAGGACAGTTCTTGAACTCTTGAAAATAGGAAAACGATGGGTGGTGGAGACAAAGGACTCCCTGGGAGAGGTCAAGTATGAGAAGAGCAGCGTTGGACTGGTCATCACATCCCCTGTGCTTCAGGAGACAGAGACCACAGGATTCTTCTCGATTTATTTATGCTAAAGAGGGGCAAGACCCAGTGTTTACATGGAAAACTTTTCCTAGGAACAGCCTTCCGGTGAGTGACTCAGAGAGCAGAAATGAGGAGGAACCTTGGCCCAAGAGTTGTCTTTGGATGTGCCTGGGACTACACTAGAAGCCAAAGTAGAAATGAGAGGTCGAGCCTAAGCCACAGGCCCTCAGTGTTCACTCTTCTGGAAGAAGAGGAAGATGTTTTTGTCTTAACTTCCCCATGAAGCTGGAGCACTGTGTGAGCATCAAAGCTTTTATCATAGGATTGACAGTAATAATCAGCCTCATCCTCAGGTTGGAGCCCACTGATAGTCAGGGAGGCTGAGTTGCCAGATTTGGAGCCAGAGTATCGACCAGAGATCCCTGAGGGTCGATTGCTATTTTCATAAATGATGAGTTTGGGAGACATTCCTGAGAGCTGCTGGTACCAGTGGGCATAATAGCCAGAACCCAAATTGGTGCTGCTTCCAGTGCAGTAGATGGTGACCGTCCCTTCTAGAGGCCCAGACACTGAGGGCGGCTGACTCAGCACTGCCTGGGCCCAGGACCCTGCAAATGAAAAAGACACAGAGATGGTAATCTAATGCTCAAAGAGAAGAGAAGTCTTCCTAGTTTCCTAAGCTCTTTCCTTGCCTGCTATCTAGTCACCTGTGCAATGAGCCAAAAGGATGAATAGGAGAGGGGACCAGGCCATGGTGGAGATCATCCCTGAGTTCTGCCTTCTGTGCCCCACAGGAGAGCAGTGTCCCTCAGGTTTCTGTCTCACCCTCTTCATAATCTGAGAGGTGGTGGTGTCTGCACCCATGCAAATGAGGTTCTCAGCAGGTTTCTGATCTTACCCTGGGCTCCTGGCTCAGTCTCCTGTGACAGAAAGAGCTGATTGGGTGGGTAAGAGTGGAACTGACTTTGAAGATGGGACAGTTTGCAACTGTGACACTGGAGCAAAAATAGGTGTGTGTGTGTGTGTGTGTGTGTGTGTGTGTGTTATATTTACACTTCTGATCACCACTCAACAATGGGCTGCGGATGCCCCCTAATGTCCAGGCCCTGACACACCATGTTGTGATTTAGTGACTATGGCCTCTCAGGGATAGATTTGCCTCCCCATTCCTTCTAAGTCATCACCAGTCTGGCCCTTTGTGACTTCCCAGTACCTCAGGAAGCTGGGAGGGTGATTCTGCAAGACGTCCTTGGCTTCTGATCCTGGCAGAGGTGGATTATATCATTGCAATCATCTTATAATCTCAAAGAATCATTGTATTTGTGAGTAGATTTTCTGTGACATAGAACCAAGTACAGTGATTTTTTTATTTCACCACTAGCTAAGTCTATTGTGATTTTAGCAATGGGCAAGTCTAAAGTCTCTTTGTTTTTTTTATTTTTCTAAAGTCTCTTTGAAGTCAAAATCATGGAAGAGCCTATTACCTTTAGCTGCTCTTCATATGATTAACAAATGGATAACACAGTGCATGATACTAAGTCAGGTGCTCATTAATTATTGGAGTACTATGAAGTTCACAATGAGATACAACTTCATTCTCACTAAGGTAGCTATAAGGAAAATAATAGATAATATCTTTGCTGGTAGCAATGTGGAAAAATAGGAAATTTTGTAAAATAGATATTTTAGTCCATAGAAATGTAAATTGCTACAGCCATTTTAAAAGGCATTAACATACAGTATTTTCTCTAATAAACTTTCTGTGTTACCCTAAAATTCCTCTCCTACTTACTTTGCAAATAGAGATGAAAACCCCGAAACCACAAAAAAACTTGAAACCTTCATACATGTTAAATTTCATCACTAGATGTCCTCCAAATCCTCCTGTGCTCATAGGTGAAGGTTTTGGGATATGATCGATCGTGGGATGTGAGAATCATACGTGTATTAGTCCACTGATAAGGATGTAGGTGACTTGGTGTTAGCAGGTGGTATCTGTGTGGAAGAGGTGGGTCAATAATGGCAGAATTTGAAAGATTTATGTATTCCCAGCTTCTGTCTTCTGTGTCTCTCTCTGCCTCTCTTTCTCTCTCTCCCCTTCCTACTCACCAAGTCATGAACTGTTTCTTCTCTGCTACTTAAATTCACATCTTATTCTCATCATTTTGATTTTCTTCTGTTCTTGTAAAATGGCATTGCTGACATCTTGAACATTACACCTTTATTAGTCCTTAAAGCATATTTCCATCCACCCTGAAGAAATCATAGTAGATATCATCCTTGGAGATTTCCTTCAAACACTTTAGTCCTGAATTAACTAGCAGGTATGGTCAAGAAACACAGATATTTTAAAGAGTTAAACTTACAGGTCTAGAATTCAATACAAGTTAAGTTTGAAAACGTTTCATGGATTTAAAATATCCACACAAGCAACAATTAACTTGCTATTCATTATGTAGATAAAAGCAGGTGTGTTTTTGAGAATTATTGAAATAACTGAGAAAAAAGGTATTGGACCAAAATGTATTGATAAGGTATGTATCTTCCAGAAACACAGTATTTATAATGTTCAAACATGTTGAAATTTCATGGAAATGATATAATGAAAACTAACTTTTTATAGACAGAGTGATTCTTTTCTTTATACCTGGCTGGAAGCAACAAAGGTCCAACTGCAGTGACTTGCACTGCAGGTGTCCTAAAGAGGTGAAGAATGAAGAAAAACCTGCAATAAAAGACCACACATTTGACCTCTAGGTGTTTGTTTCACATGCTAACATTCTTGTTTCCCACTGAAGTCTGATGGTAAAGTGCCTTTTGCTCTTTCCTATTTAGTGGCTTCATTGATCCATACGTGTTTAAGTCCCTCATTTGTTCAAGTGAACTTTCATCAACTTTCTATTATCATCTGAGCAACTCAGTGCAATAGGGGAAAAAAGAAACTTGGAGTCTATTATCAATCCAATAGAAAAAAAATAAAGTGAAGTCTCCTAGGAAATCCCCATATGCAAAATACTATCTAATTTCACTCATCCAGGTCTTGTCAATTTCTGCTCCATGAAGTGAGGTGTTTTTTTGTTTGTTTTTTGTTTTTTGTTTTTTGTTTTTTTTACTTTTCTCACGAAAAGAAACTTTCCCTTTCCACATTTTACACTGACAGAATTAAGATAGCATCCAGAAACAATGGCACAGTCTGCACATTTCTGCTTATTCTTTTTCCTCTGCTCTAGGATTTCACTGTGTCTTCATGTCCTGATATTCTTTCTTCCAGTTGAACTAACCTTTTGTTTGGACTTTCAATTTAATTTTCACTTCACTTTTTGAAATTATTTTTTCAGGATTTCTGATTGGCCCTTTTCTAGAATTATCTCTCTGTTGAGTTTCAATTGATTTTTAAATGACTTGAGGTTTTCATTAACAGAATTTAAAATTAGTTCCCTTTCAGTTCTTCTATTCCTGTCCTGGAGTGATCTTTTATATTTTGCAGTGTCTTCTTTATTTCAATCAAGTATTTGTTTGTTTCTTCTTTGAGATAATTGATAATTATAATATTTGATTCATCAACAGCTTATTTATGTCTTCACTGATCTCACTGATCATTTTAATCTCAAGGCAACCTAATTGTTCTCTCTCAATCTCAGCATTGTACTGCTTGTTGTCTAAATTTTGAAAAGCATATTTTGAATAACATTATCTAGTTTTCTAATGGAGCATAATATGTGGCTAAATGTGCTCTGTTTCTCTCCACACCTGAAATTTTTTTCTAACTTTAAATTTACATAAATGATAGCTTCCACAGACGTCATTATGAATCTCACTGTTTTAATACAAAAGAGAACATTTCATCATAATGTATGCTTCATTTTGAGAAGAGAGTTCCTTGTGTAAGGAAAATTAGGAGACAAGCAGGGAAAGGTAAGGACTTTAGTGAATCATCTGCCAAATACTAGCTGGAACGAAGTGGCCCCTGCTAAAGAGAACAGTCAGAATAAAAGAGGGAGAACTGATAAGCAGTGCACCTGGTTTTGAAGCCAGTGCCCCAGTTATTCCTCTCTTTCTCCAGTTATATACTAAAGCAGACAAAGTGAAAAGGTGAGCTTTATTATAGAAAAACTCACTCAATATATAAAACATATACTCACAACTTGGCACTCCATATATGCATATATGTATATACATTCTTATTCTCTCGTGACATTAATACCTAACGTGTATATGTATCCTTTCTTACTAACTCAGCCTGAATGTGAGGCTTTACTATAATTCTTACAGATATCACCTTGAAAAAAGTAAGAACTCAAAAAAATCTTATCTATAATGTGCACATAAGCAATGGAAAAGGACAGTAGTTAAATCAGCTAGTCAAAGCCTAAATTAGCTAACCAAGTTATAGCAACTTAAGGTGGGGAGTTCCTTTCTTGACATATAATAAATGAGGCTAAAAAAAAAGCCTTGAGCACTGGCTCTGGGCTCCCTACTTTATGCCATTGTAGCTGTCTCCTTATTTGTCTTCTCTTCCAATAATGTGATTTTTTTCCTTCTAGATATGTATCACTGATTCTTTATTTGTGTGAGTTTATGAACCCGAGATAAAATGTACCTTTATTAGGTTTGACAATTGCGATTACTATGTCATAGAAATTTAAGTCTATCCTAAGTCAATTGCAAACATATGTATCTTACAATATCAATGAATTTTTTTGGTTTTTTTCCTATCAACAAACTAAAATTTATAGCTTTACTTTTCAGTATCTATAAATGTATTTCATTGTTTTTTCTTTCTTTATGAAATATTCTAGGTTATTCCTGGATTTAGCTTTTCCCATGTTTCATAATTACTGTTCTTGTTGCTGAGACAAAATATCTGACACTCACAGTTAAAGGGGGAAAGGTTTATGTAGCTCACAGTTTGTAGAGGCTTAAGTACATAACTGGCTGGCTCCGAGGCAGGGTGGTATGGTGGAGGGGCAACAATTCACAACAGTAGATGAGAGCAAAAAAGAAGGGAGAAGAGGGACAAACTTCTCGCTGTTCCTAATATTATATCCAGTCTACCTGCACTAGGGGTTGTAACACTCAAATCCTTAGTCCAAAAATGACCATGAACCAATCACAAACTCTAGATTCAGTCACTTTGAAATATCTGTTCCCTATGACTGAATTAAGCTTTAAGGGAATATTTAGATACAAATCATGTAACAATCCACCCTAAAGCCTCCAAAAATTCATTTAGTCCATCTCTATGAGTTGCCAAACTCCTAACACTTTCAACATTGCTTAAAAGACCAAGTCTAAGATGTATCTGGGTCTTTGCTTACCCCTACTCTCCTAAAGGAGCAATAATGAATGAATTAAATAAAGAGACAGTAATATGATTTGGGGGGATCTCGAAAGATTGAAACTTTGGGAGTAAAAATGCTGGGAGTAAAGACTGTCTGGGAGTCGAGACAAAGAACTTCTCTAGATAGCCTGTATTTATTCCAACAGATTTGGTAGATGCAGGATTAGGTGAATACAAAATCCCAAGGCCCATGAAGTTGGAACAAAAGCAGTACACTTTGTGAATTAAGAGAATTGTTTGATCTCTAAGATTGGCAATTTGTTTGCTCTAGAATAGTGAGTGTTAGCAGCTCATATCTTTGGCTGTCTCATTTATGATGTTATGTAGACTTCAGAGAACTATTCATATGAGCTTTTCTAACACAACCAGAGATCCTTGTATTCTGCAACTTTACCTTGTTCAATCCAGTCTCCAACACATGTCTCTTCGGAGCTTTAAGTTGAACTCTTAGGAGTGAGCCTCTGTACAAATGAAAAGAAAGTTAAACACTTCCAACACTCAATGGCAC